AATGTAAAGACGATTACGTATCTCAACTTTTGAATAACACTATTTCATAAGAACACCAAGAAATTGGCCAGATTACTCAATCCTCAAAATGAAATTGACATTAAAATAGAAATCAAACATATAATTTCATCCCAAACGATTACAATGGAGTCTCAAAGTAACCACAATCAAAATYTAAGCAACTAATGTTGGAAAGAAAAGGGTTTAGCCACACATGGCTAAACCTAGATTACCAATTGCAATAATTAAGAAAAATACCTAAGAAATTGGGTGAAAGTGGGTGAGATGTTCTTCCAATCTAACAAGCTTCTTTGCCGTTTTCTTCCACCCTCGCCGACGACCTCCCTTGCGACCGAACAKCCCTTTTGCTCGATGACTTGCTGCAATCGAACCTCCTGCTGCCTCTCTCGATTGCTTCTCTTTTAATCCCCTCGTTCCATCGCCACGACCCTCACGACTTCGACCCTCGCTGCCCACGTCGATAGTTGTTGCTCGTCTCGTCTCCATCGCATTTCTCTCGCTGCACGATCTCTCTCTCTCGACTTTTGATCTGGGCAGCAGCCCAAGGCTGCTGCTGTTTGCTGTTTCTCCTCTTTTTACACGGCTTGGGCTGCTGTTATGGGTAGCAAACTTGGGCTGTTGTTATGGGCAAAAAAATACACATAGTCAACACATTTTTCTCAACTTTAATGGCCTCATATAGTTAGGATTAACTTAAAGTAAATTGGCCCTTTTTAAGTATATATTTAACATTAATTGTAAGGTACTTTGACGTAAAAATGTATAAAATTTGCACTTATCAACTAATGACATATAATTAAAAATAAATGATGTGCCTTTTTAAATATCTATGTAAGGTTTCTTTTTTGCCACATCACTCTGAAGATAATCGGTTACCTGCTTAATAGGTAATCGAGGTCCTTAGATTAATGAAAATTTTGTTTCAGACCCTATAATGGTAATTTTAAAAGTTGGTTTTTCAAAATATAAATCAGGGCAAAGTTGGTTCAATTCTAATGTCACTTTTCCTTCAAGATATATTTTAAATATTCTATTTGATATTAAAACTGGTGTAATTGATTGGAAGTGAATTACTATTTACAACAAATTTACATCATTTTAGTGCAAAAAATAGTGTAAGCAATTGGAAATGGTTCCAAAGATGGCTTAATTGCTAAGACATTGGGCTTGTTTATTTGGTAGTTAATTTTAAAACCTCATAAAATTAGTGGCAATGTGTGTAACTAATATTTCTTTACTTGTATTCCTAACCAATGAGATGCAAAATAACGAATAAATGGTAAAAACTAGCTTATCAGATAGTTGGAAAATGTAAAATAACTAAAAATAACATGTTTAAAAATTATTATTTTTAAACATTTCATAGTATATTTAAAACAATTCATTTTTATTATACAACATGCTAATTATATCGATAATAAAAATAAACGATGTATTATTTAACACGTCATAGACCCCATAAACCAAATCCATAATTCATTCGACAGAAAATGATAATATATTCACACCAAAATACTTGTTTTAAATGCATCATTCATATGTCCGAAGAGCTAAAACGAATAATGTTATCATCTGCCCCTCCCCCCAATGCACGTGACGACAAACGGCCAAACCTCCCTATCTCTTCCCCCCTTATTCATTGGTTAACTTCCAATTATTCTGCTTATCTTTTTTCTTTGATTCTAAACTTTCAGTTGTTCTAAGTTGAATCTTCTGCTTCTTTAGATATATTTTGCTTCAAGTTTTAGCAAAATCCATAGTGAATCGTTTCAAGTTTTCCTTGGTTGTTTATGTGGAACTGTTTTGGGTTTCAATGGAACAATTTCAAGATTGTTAGTAAACTGCTTCGAGATTATTAAATTAGGGTTCTAAAAAGAGATTTGGGTGTCTGTTTTACATTGATTTCAACTGAACAATTTCAAGATTGTTGGTGGACTGCTTCAAGATTTTCAAAACTAGGGTTCTTGGGGGGGTTTTTTAAGAGATTTGGGTGTCTGTTTTACATGGGTTTGGATTGAACTATTTCAAGATTTTGAAATTAGGGGTGTTGATGGAAGAAGATGGGATAGAAGAGGTTGGTAACAGTAGTGCTAGTGCTAGGTTATTGAGAAAGAGAAGTGGTGGTGGTGATTCAAGTTCAAGGTGGGTGGATGGTAGTGAAGTGGACTCAGAATCACCTCCATGGTCATTGATTGATGATGATGAAAAGAGAAGTGAAGGACATGGATCTGTTAGAAGAAGGTTGGTGAGGAAGCTCAAGAGTGTTGACTCTTTTGATGTTGAAGCCATGGCTATCTCTGGCTCCCATAGCCACCATAGCAAGGTTACCTCAATTGCCCATAATCATCTATTGTTGTCTGTTTCTTTCGATTCATTTTTCAACTTTTTTCTTAGATCAAACAGTACATATATTAAGTTTGCTAGTATTCGATTTCCTTCAAATGCCATTTCATGTCAACATATGCACTCATTTTTACGTAATTCTTTCAAAACATCAGGAAGTCACGATATGGCAGACTCTTGGATTGGCTTTTCAGACACTTGGAGTCGTATATGGTGATATGGGGACGAGTCCATTGTATGTGTTCTCGGACGTTTTCAGCAAGGTCCACATTCAGTCGGACATTGATGTCTTGGGAGCTTTATCACTTGTTATTTACACTATCGCTCTCGTGCCGTTAGCAAAATATTGTTTTATAGTCCTAAAAGCAAACGACAATGGCGAAGGTAAGAATACGAATGGTAGTTTTACCAAACACAACTAGTTTGCCAAAGGCTATACAGGCCAAAACAACTGATTTCTGGCTTCAGAACTCATAGAACAACATGATGACGACATTGAACTTCTAACGGATTATTCGTGTAAATATCTGGAAGTTAACCATATGACAAGAAATCATATTCATTGTGAACTTAAAAGAACTAATCTCGCTTGCAGGAGGAACATTTGCACTCTATTCATTGATCTGCCGGTATGCAAAAATTAATCTTCTACCAAATCATCAACAAGCCGACGAATATATCTCAAGTTTTAGGCTCAAACTGCCAACTCCGGAACTCGAAAGGGCTCTAAAAATCAAAGAGAAGTTAGAACACAATTCGTTCTACAAAACGCTTCTCTTGTTACTCGTTCTAACTGGAACTTCTATGATCATCGGGGACGGTATTCTGACCCCGGCTATGTCTGGTAAGTATAAGCTTTTTCGTTCATTCGCCAATTCGAATAAACTTCCTATTAGCTTTTTTATTTGACACTTTTTGAGAATTGTCCTATGAACGCTTCTTTTTATAGAACTCTTGTTTTTATATAACACTTTTTCAAATGGTGTAATATAAAAGACTACAGGAAAATTCGCTTGAGAAGGGAACCGCCTACAACGCGCCATGTGTCCCTCTTCAGGATGAATATTCATCAGGAATCACACATTCATGATGAATATGTAACAACATTCATGATGAATAACACGCCCTGTTCTTGATGAAAATGAGGTTCCTAATGGAACCATCCCTAAAAGACTAATTGGACACGTTATTTCAAAAGTATCCTAAAAACTTGTTAGGATGCCCAAAAGCATCTTATCTACTTATTGTAACATCTTTACATATGACGTACAATTGTTTGGTCCTATATAGTTTATTAGGACATTTAAACATATTTGTCGTACTATAAAGCCAATTTGATTGTGGTGCTTCTTGTCCTGCTCTTACAAATTGTGATTGCAGTCATGTCTGCTGTGAGTGGTCTGGAAGGTAAAATACCGGGATTTGGCACAGGTACATGAACGGCTAACGATTAACTGATTCTTGGTGGCAGCGATCGATATTTGTTGTCTTTTTTTACTCAAAAAAACATCGTGTTTTACAGGCGCTTTAGTATCCGTCTCAATTGTGATTCTTGTCGGATTGTTTGCCATACAAAGGTTTGGGACAAGTAAAGTGGGGTTGACGTTTGCTCCTTGTCTTGCTTTGTGGTTCTTTAGTCTCGGCTCGATTGGATTGTACAACCTTATTAAGTATGATATATCTGTGGTGAAGGCGGTTAATCCTGCATATATATATTTCTTCTTCAAAAAGAATTCTGGAAAGGCTTGGTCAGCTCTTGGTGGTTGCGTTTTATGCATCACAGGTATGTCGTTTGTGGTAAAGCTACGATTTTCTTTTTCTGAAGCAATGGCTCGAAAGTTATACTTGTTTTTTGGTATGTTATATATGTGATTATGTGGCCGGTTCTTTCCAGGAGCGGAAGCAATGTTTGCTGATTTGGGCCATTTCTCTGTGCCATCCATACAGGTCCGTCCTTTTTATATTCTTGTGGATGCATGACCTTTTGATAGATTTAAGGACGGCTCTGCTTAATGGTACCAACTCATCTAGGCTTGGTTTATATTGGCTCATATAAGCATGTATAGTCTTGATAGGCTCTCGAGCTTGAGCCAGGTAGTCCAGCTGCCAGCTTGGCTCAGCACATGGCCTGCTGAATCGGAATGGGCTTGACTTGTATAAGCTCGATTTATGTTGGCTTATATCAGGTGATATAAGCTTGTATGGGCTTGATTCATTTAGGCTCACCAAGCTGTCGAGCGTGAGCTAGTTCTAATCATATCTTCGTGTTGTAGATTGCTTTCTCGTTCGTGGTGTTTCCGTGCCTTCTCTTGGCTTACTTGGGTCAAGCCGCTTATCTTATGAAACACCCTGATTCCACAAGTAGAATATTCTATGATTCTATCCCAGGTAATGCTTCTTAAAGTGATGCAGAAGTCCCGGGCCTTCCAAACCCTTTTTTAGTAAGCAAAAAAAAGTGCCCGTGCTTCGTTGGGATTTTGGAAAAAACTTGGTCCAACCGGACTTTTTGTGTATCTCTACTTCTAACATGTTGGATTGTTTTGGCAAAAACCTTTTTTCTGATCTACTCACTAATCAATTGAGATTTACGAGTGGTGTTTGAACAAACAGACGGACTTTTTTGGCCGGTTTTCGTGATAGCTACAGCCGCTGCGATAATCGCTAGTCAAGCTATGATATCCGCTTCATTCTCGTGCATTAAACAATCCATGGCTCTCGGATGCTTCCCGAGGTTGAAAATCATTCACACGTCACGACGGTTCATGGGCCAAATCTACATTCCCGTCATCAATTGGTTCTTGATGATCATGTGTATTCTTGTCGTAGCCACCTTTCGAAGCACAACTGACATCGCTAATGCATATGGTCCGGTTTCTCCTCAATCCTTGCTTTTCTCTTCTTTTTATCTCGTTTTCACACTTTTCATAAGCCATCTTGCCCCCTAGACCCTACCTCCAGGTGGGGCATACTGGGCTTGTTTGTACCGGTTTGATTATTGTTGTGTGCAAGTGATCCTAAGTTTTTTAAAGATTTGTGGTTTATGCAGGCATAGCAGAAGTCGGGGTGATGATTGTTAGCACGACGTTGGTGACGATCGTTATGCTTCTGATATGGCAAACAAACATCTTTTTAGCACTGTGTTTCCCGGTTGTGTTTGGATCGATAGAGCTCATATACCTGTCAGCTGTTCTATCCAAGATCACAGAGGGCGGTTGGCTTCCGCTCGCTTTCGCTTCCTTCTTCCTTTGCGTCATGTACATTTGGAACTTCGGGAGCGTGCTGAAGTACCAAAGCGAAGTCCGAGGGAAAATCTCAATGGACTTCATGAACGAGCTCGGCTCGTCCCTCGGAACCGTCCGAGTCCCCGGAATCGGACTACTCTACAACGAACTAGTCCACGGAATACCATCCGTTCTCGGCCAGTTCCTACTCGATCTACCAGCCATCCACTCTACGCTCATTTTCGTCTGCATAAAGTATGTTCCCGTCCCTGTCGTATCGCAAGACGAACGGTTTCTTTTCCGAAGGATTTGTCCAAAAGACTACCACATGTTTCAGTGTGTAGCAAGATATGGATACAAGGACGTCCGCAAGGAAGATCACCGTGCATTTGAGCAACTTTTAGTCGAAAGTCTCGAGAAGTTCATGAGGAAAGAAGCTTCAGAGCTCGAGTTGGAAACTGACGTAGTCGATGCGGAATTAGACAGGATATCGGTTTCCCCGAGAAGAAGCTATTCAGGTGAACTTAGCGTGCCGTTGATTCAGCACGTGGAAGGCGGCGAGTCAGCGGTGCTGCCGCCAAGCATGATGGGTGGCACCGATGAAGACCCGAGCTTAGAATACGAGCTTTCGGCCCTTCGAGAAGCTATGGAATCTGGGTTCACTTATTTGCTTGGCCATGGCGATGTCAGAGCCAAAAAGGAGTCGTTTTTCCTGAAGAAACTTGTGATCAATTACTTTTATACGTTTCTGAGGACAAATTGCAGAGGCGGAGCAGCCACCATGAGGGTCCCACATATGAACATCATACAAGTCGGGATGACGTATATGGTATGATATATACATATAACTACCTGAAAAATATAATAGTGTGCGTACCCTCAGGCTTATTTGGTTTATATCTTGTTCGGATCCGGTTCCAGATGGGTTATACCGAACCTATTTGGTTTGGTTTGGTTTGGTTCAGTTCGGTTATATAGTCGGCCATATTTGTTTATTCTTGTCCAATTTACGAGTTAATTTACGAGTCAATAAATTGTATCATCTTCGTTTTCAAAGTCGAAACTCAAGGAAATCTCTTCAGTTTGCTATAAATAAAATTGTGGTGGATTATAAGTGAAACTATATGATAATTGTATCATGTGGTATTTATATTATGACTGTATATTTATAACGTAAATACAGTTAAAAGAATAAGAGTTAAAGTTAGAAGCGTAAGGGATTTAGACCCTTTATCACTTACACACCTATGAATTGCGTTTCTCTCGAGAATTGATCTGGTCTACTCGGTGTATCTCATTTGTGTTGATCTTCAATTGGGATTGATCCAAGAGGGAAAATTTCATCGTAACTTTTGTTCTCACTGGAATTCGCCCAACAACCCTTATACATTATCAGTATTTTCCTTTTAAGATATTTCATAAATGGGATGCTAGCTCTTGGGTAAATACGAAGGGTGTTTAACATTTTGATTATACACCTATCGAGAAAGATTAAGCTTGGTTTAGGTGGAGGAGAGGGATGGCGTATATGCATGTTTCTATAGTATAATGTTACGGTTATGAAACTGGTACGGTAGGAATGTTTTTGAGGACTGTGAAAATCGAGTCTTCCACAAACGTGACATCATATAAATGTTGTAATTTTTGTGAGATTTAATATGCGTAAGAAAGTTAATCGAAAAATAAGCATGACAATTGATGACTACTAGGGCCGTTTTGACATTCATTTTAAAATCAATCATTTGATTATTTTGTAATTTTAAATTGTAATTAATAAATTTTTATGTGGATGGCCAAATTGTAATTTTGTATTAGCAGTGAAATTATCAGATGTTAAAATAAAGTTATGTTTTACTTATTGTTTTTACTTAATTTGGGATGTGTTTGGTAAACTAGTTGTTGACTAATAAATTAGTTGTTAGTTGAAACAGTTAATTATTAACTCTTAAAATGATCATTATCTATACTATATCATTAAACATTTGATACAAACTTTTAAAAATCATTTTTATGCATTAAATATTGTTTATTGATGCATATTATTTAAAATTCAAGATTACAAGTAAACTTTGTGTATGTACAACTTATTAAATTTTCATGTTTAAATTCGTGTAATTAACTGTAAATAAATGTAATCAAATACTAGATAAGTATCTTATTTTAAATATAGAAATCTAAAATATGTTTGGATTAATTATTGAATTATAGAAAAATACTAATTATTTATCTTTATAAAATAATTATAATATTAAATAAAAAATCAGTGAAGTTATTATTAAATCTAAATTAAATTATAATAAAAAAATTAAATTAAAGAAATTATACCAAAAAATAAGAACTCTTAAATAATTTAATTTGATATTAAAATCGATACATTTTTTTCAAAAAATTATGATACCTTCAAAGTTATATATTATTCAGAAAATTAAAAACATCATCGTTTTTCCAGTACCACGTAAAATCATATCATAACACTGATGAAGACAGAATATAATGAAACATTAAAATCGAGATGTATCTCGTTGCATTATAGAAGTACCCTCATAGTTAGTAAAAACTAGCTCAAAAACTAGATAACAATATAAAAATACCTAAAAAATATATAGCTTTTGCTCATTAATCTAAAATATAATGCACATAATTGTAAAAAAGTTAAAAAAGAAATCCAAAACTTATTGAAATGTTACTCAAATAACTTCTAAAAAAACCAATTTATTGCTTATCAAACGAAAATTTTCAATAAACTCAAAAAATAAAATAGTTTATTTATAAAACACAGTCTTAAATTCCTACTCTCGAATTTTCGTAAAAATGTCACTTTCTAGTCATTTTTTTGAGTAACGAGCAAATATATCTTATTTCTGCATATCTACGGGTTGGTCTATTGTTTTGAGGCTTCTTTTCATCCGCTATAATATATGAATGTTTTAGGTCATCTAGAAAAGACAATTGTGTTACGTGGTTTTATTGTACATTTCAAATATTATATATTAACAATTAAGATTCATTTTTTAATAGTGATATCGCGCGTTGCACGATGACGATAATTTTTTTAAAAATTATTGAAGTTAGCTAAATGAGTCGTTGATCACATTTATATATTAAATTAATAAGAATCAATATTACCTTTGATATATGAATCCACCCACATCATTTTGATTATCCATATATTTCATGAAAGTTGTAGTATATAGTAAGGTATTTCTAACTGCAAAATACGAGTTTATTATGACTTACAGTTTGTGAGTTATACACTGTCAAAGTACAGAAGTTGCACTATCGGTAAAATCCAAATTCACAATTTCCCAACTAACTTTTATGATCCCAACTTCGCGTATTCAATCAAACGGGCAATTTTCTCCCCAACTATGGGTCCCATACTACTCCCCATTAACTGAAAATCCATAATCCTAATTGCTACGGTAATACCTTTTAGTTACCTTATGTCTGTTTGAACAAC